TTTCATTCAGAATCTTCAGTGAAAAGCATTTGTCTTTTTTGAATAGGGTTTATTTCTTAGCTGGCCTTGTGCCTTCTTTAGCTCTATGGCCAAGGACGCTTGCAGACCTTATCCTTTCAAACCATAGTTGGAGACAATTCCCGATGCCACCGGAGCGGATGGCAGACACTTGGAGATGACTCAGGCGGTTGTCCGTGAAGATAACACACTTGCTCTGTCCCCTTTGCTCCTTCTTCTATGTGGAGTCCTGCCCCAAGGCCACAGGAGCGGAGCCCAGAGCCAAGGTCACCTCCGAAGCTGGCTGAGCTCCTGGGTAACCATGGCCAAAACCCCCGCCCCCTCCATCACCAGCAGGCTTCCTGACCCCATAGTAGCCAAAGCCACCCACCCCAGTGCTCACCCTATAGCACCTGAACCAATCACCTAACACCAACCTTCCAGCAGGAAATTTTCTTTGTCTCGGGGCTGTAAAAATTGGCTCCTAACCCGTGAAAAGCGTCAGCTGTCCCTGGTCTGCCAGGAGGTCAGCCGGCTGCGCTCACAGTGCCCACATTATCTCTGCTCTTTGTTCTGAATAAATCCACTACCTTCTGAAACACTCTGTGTTTGGAAGCGCTTTTCCAACTTGTGTTTGGATGGCCATGACATTTTACGCACAAAGCCACCCAGATGAAGGAGCTGCCTGGGGCTCGGACCTGCCGTGCCCAGCCCAGGGCTCATTCCACGGCTGTGACCTCAGCAACAGGGAGAGACTCTCATCCACGGACCTCAGAGGGGCCTGGAATCTCTGCTCCTTTACAGACCCCACTGTCCCTCACTGTCCCCGCGCCCCCCACTGCCCCGAAGACACAAAGGTTGGGGAGTGGATGGGCTGATGTGCTTGCATTAGCGAGAACAGTTCTGCCTTCCCAGTTTGCTCACTGGCAGCACGGGTCACAGGGACGGACCTGACCTGGTATCAGCAGCGGCTGGTCCTAATGACCACGTGCTCTCACACTTCAGCCTGACACACGGGCTGGTATGTGTCACAGCCCTGATACACACTAGCTCGTTTTATCTTCTCGAGAAACCTGCACACAGGATGCAGCTGTAAGACCGCATGACCCTGGATGGAGTCAGAGCCGAGAGTTATTCAGACTTCCTGACCAACAAGGATGATGGAAGTTCCAGAATTTCTCTAGCAGGGAGATTTAGGAGCCATCATCTGGTTGAAAGAAGGGGCCAGATGACTTGTCTCGAAGCAACATATGCTTGGAAAATAAATGGCTTTTTTTTTTAGAGAGATTTTACAAGGATTGGGGTTGCAGAAATGATTGCGCCCAGTCGCAGCCGTGGTAAAGAACCCGCCTGCCAGTGTGGGAGGCGCGGGCTCAGTCCCTGAGTCAGAAAGACCCCCTGCAGGGGGAAACAGCAGCCCACTGCAGTATTCTTGCCTGGAGAATCCCATGGACAGAGGAGCTTGGCAGGCTACAGTCCATGGGATCACAAAGAGTCGGACACGACTGAGCACGCACACCTGCATCACCAGTCATCAGAGCCGTTTGGAAGGTCTAAGAGGAAACAGGTCCAGTAGACAGCACAGGTGGGGGACCTCGGCCCCCATCCCTCTTTTAACCAATGGGTAATCAGATATGGACTGAACCGCTTCATCTTTCTGGGAGCCTGGCGTCTCCAACTGAAAATCAGGCTTATCTGGTACAGTCCCATATAGGCTATTTTAGTGCAAACCAGCCCACGATTAATTGCTGCAGGGCAATGGTCTGCTAGGCCTGGACGACTGAGCCGCTGTCCACGCCAGCTTATCTCAGTCCTACTTCAGCCACGGCCAAGGGGTCACATACGGGAATTCCGTGTCCTGAATCCTCTGCCAATACTCAGGCTGACTCTCCAGTTTCGGAGGATGTCAGTGTCAGCTTTCCCAGAGTGAAACTGACTGGTTTTCTCCCCATTGCCTCCTGCATGCTTTCTGCTTCCTACATACAGAAACTGGCTAAGTTTCTTCCCTGGAAGCAGAGGCAGAGAGGCAGGAGGAGGTAGCCAGAGGCTATAGTTCATTGTTGGTGGAATTTTATCTGTGGGACGGGGCCATGCCAACTCTCGGCCTAGCTACACCACCAGTGGGGTCAACAGGCATCAGCCTTCTCTGCCTTCTGCTGCTTTGATAACGCTCCTTGTTATATGACGATTGGCACTGTGGCTTCCCTTTGTGAGAGAAAACTTTATGCTGTGTGCCATCCACAGCCGCTCCGAGATCCACTAGTTTACCTAGTTTTCTGTGTAGCTGTTATTTGGTGTCTTTTCTCAGAAGGGTGCATCAGCAAATTACCTTTCAGAACACAGTGGTGTAACAGAAGTCTGTGCACTTATTAGTTTTCTCTTTTTAAATCAAGGCATAGCTGCTTTCCAGTGTTGCACCAGCTTCTGCCACACAACAAAGTAAATATGTCTACACACATATATCCCCTCCCTCTTGGAACTCCCAACACCACCCCCTCCCCATCCCATCCTTAAAAAACTAAAAACACAACTACCACATGACCCAGAAATCCCACTGCTGGGCATAAATCTTGAGATTTATTAATTCAAAAAGACACACATATACACCCCAATGTTCACTGCAGCATATACTAGCTTTTATGTATGCTTTTCTTCCTGGGGTGTGGGGCTCCCTGGGAGTGAAAACTTTGTCTTAATCTTCGTATCCCCCTGAATCAAGCCCAAGGCTTCTCACACGCACAGAAATGCCAAGCAAGTGAATAAAGCCATTCAGAGAGGCCAGGCTTCAGGAGGGATCCCTAATCACAGCCCGAGTTCAGCAGCTTCATTGTGGTTCTCCTCGGAGTCCCCACCACAACTACCCTTCAAGACTAATCTCGGTGATGGTCTGTTGATGTCTGTCTTCTTGCTTGACTGTGAACTTGTATACTCAACGAGCCCCAGGGCCATGTTTCTTTTGCCAGAGGCTCTGGCACTGAGCAGGCACTTAAGAAATATTTGTTGAATAAATAAGAGGATAATTCTTGGCAGTCAGACGAGAATGACACGCTGCTATAATACAAGTCTTGTACTCTACAGACTCTGTGTATACCTAGAACATTTTAAGCACTGAGTCCCTATTAACCAATACTAAGGAGTCTATATAAAGTGTGTGAGTAATAGCACCATTCCTAATTTAATGGATGATGATCTTAATGTACCCTATTCTAGGCACTGAAAAATAAAAGCATTATCAAAAATGATGTCATTCTACCTCTTACTGAGTATATTTTCATTCTGAGTGTAGAGAATTACGATGACATTCCAGAAAAAAAAAAATGCATTTCACTTAGGAAAAGAGAAAAAACCTTTGTATTATAAGCACACACCAACGAATTAAAACCCACTTTTGTGCTGGCATTGATGTATGTTAAAAAAGAGTGCTTTTGTGTCTACAGCCTAAGAATTTTTAATTAAAGGATTTGGTCGGGCAAATTGAGTGTGTCGAACCACCATCACACAGATGAGGCTCAATTAAGCATTCCACGCACTCTGCAACGTGACAAGTCTGAGGACCTCGCAAAACCTCCTATGCTTAAGAGCAGTCATTTCGGGGCTCGTGGATTTTTCCACCGCCCTTTGTTTTGCCTCCTCAAGGAATAGGCCTTGAAGAAGAGAAAACAAAAAGGTGAAACTGCAGGAAAGAAGAGGAGAGGTGTAGTGGAAGGCATGCCGCAGGGGACAGCACTCGTCTCACGGGACTAAGACACCTTGGGAAGCAATGCACATGCCCACCTGCGATGAACGTGTTGCCAATTCTGACTCATGCTGTTTTTTCTCAACTCATCCATTAGATTTTTCTAGCATCCAGTCACCCAAAACACAGAGAATCCATGCTTTCTTTTGCAAGATCCAATGTCATTTTCCTTGCTTTGCTCTCTTAAGACTCAGAGGCTTGGTTCTCAGCCCTAGAAACTCATTTTTTCCTAAAAGGATCTGAATGGCTGCTCTAAACGTCCACGTGATGAATCTGATTGCCCCCCTTGCCCACCAAAAGGTGGGCGGGTAGATGGCAGAGTTCTGAACAACAAGGGAAGTCCCCGATCCCCAGATGTGGAAAGCTCCCGTTCCTGGGGGTCCACACATGCCTCCAACCAGAGAAATCAGAACTGGGGAAGGTCCTTCATATTCAGCGAGAGAAGGGACCCTGGTTGGAACGCAGAAGCTCTTGTCCTCACAGGAGAACCGGGACAACCCCTGCAGTCCTCAGCACGCTGTCTGGAACCCATATCAGCCTCTCCTGAGGATAACGGAGTCTGTTTGTGGGATAGCATCGGTTTTAACCAAAGGGTGTGCATTCTCAGTCCACTGTTGCCTTGTCCCCAAGGGGCAGCTCGAGCCCCTTTCCCAGCAGCCCCCACTGGCTCCTCCTGCATAAGGATGAATGAGCCAACATGGGCATCAGGGTGGTTCGGACGGAAAAAGAAAACTCAGAAAGAACAAAGTGCGGGGGGGGGGGGGGCCTAAGAGAATCAGACCGCATGACCCTTGGTCTCAGTGATCGTCAGCTTCTTGTAAGTTTTATCTAATAAACTTCATCCATTGGATCTCCCACCCCACCTCCTCTCTGTGGGGTACCCAGGAGCAGGGCACTCATGAGCCTCTCTAGACGCCCCACCCATCCTAAGAGAGGCTCTAGAATTTGACACAAAGCGCTTTTTTAAAGGCAGGGGATTCTCACCCAGGGGCTTCCCTCGTGGCTGAGATGGTAAAGAGTCTGCCTGCGGTGCGAGAGACCCGGGTTTGATCTCTGGGTCAGGAAGATCCCCTGGGGGAGGGAATGGCAACCCACACCAGTATTCTTGCCTGGAGAATCCCATAGACAGAGGAGCCTGGCGGGCTACAGTCCATGGGGTCACAAAGAGTCAGACACGACTGAGTAACTAATACCTTCACTCTCAATGCTTTCTCACCCAGGCTGTCACATCTTCCGTGGGACTCCGCACCCACTGCCCACCACGCAGTGCCCTGGAGCCACCTCTGGTTCAACCCCACTCTCAGGGCTCCTGGGGCCCCAGCCTTGAGTTTCTCTCCCCGAGGAGTCATCTCGCCCTCCGCTTGGGGTCTCAGCTCAGGGCCAGAGCAGCTTTATTGACAGAAGGCAGCCTAGGGGCTGTGCTGTATGCGCCCCATGTCTCCTCCTCCCCCACGTCAGCGGCAGAAACTCAGCCCCGGGCTGTGTCCGGCTGTGCCCAGGAAGAGCTGGTGACAGCCGGTGACAAGCTCATGGTCCCCACGAGGGTCGGACCTGGGTTCTCCAACCTGAGCCAGCGTGGCCGTCCGACCAACACCTCTTACTGACTTCAAGTCATAGCACAGGCCACCTGACCTCACTTAAAACTCTTCCCGTGGCAGAGATGTGGGTGGGTCTCGAGACTGTCACCCAAGTGAAGACAGTCAGAAAGAGAAAACCAAATATCATATATTAACAAATGCATGTGGAATCTAGAAAGGGCAGAAACAGAGACAAAGATATACAGAACAAATGTAAAAACTCTAAGGGGGGAAGGGTGGGTGGGAAGAATTGAAGAGATCTGGACTGACATATATGCACTATTGATAATATGTATAAAATAGCTGACTAATGTGAACCTACCGTATAGCATGGGGAATGCTAGTCAATGCTCTGTGGTGACCTAAATAGGAAGGAAATTCAAGAAAGGGAATATATGATTTTCATTGAAGCAATATTTACAACAGCTAGAACATGGAAGCAACCTAGAGGGCCAACGAGAGATGAATGGATAAAGAAGTTGTGGTACATATACACAATGGAATGTTGCTCAGCCATAAAAAGGAACACCTTCGAGTCAGTTCTAATGAGGTGGATGAAGCTAGAGCCTATTATACAGAGTGAAGTGAGTCAGAAAGAGAAAGACAAATATCATACACAAACGCATATATACGGAATCTAGGAAAATGGTACTGAAGAATTTATTTGCAGGGCAGCAAGGGAGAAACAGACATAGAGAATAGACTGCGGACATGGGGAGAGGGGAGGAGAGGGTGAGAGGTATGGAGGGAGTAACATGGAAACTTACATCACCATATGTAAGATAGATCGCCATGGGGAATTGCTCTATGGCTCAGGAAACTCAAACAGGCCTCCGTATCAACCTAGAGGGGAGATGGGAGGGAGGTCCAAAAGGGAGGGGACATATGTATATCTACGGCTGATTCATGCCGAAGTTTGACAGAAAGCATCAAAATTCTGTAAAGCAATTACCCTCCAATTAAAAAATAAATACATTAAAAAAAAGGAAGAGGGGGTATATGTATACGTAGAGCTGATTCACTTTGTTGTACAACAGAAACTGACGTAACACTGCAAAGCAACTGCATTCCAGTGAAATAAAACAGAAACTCCTCCTATACTGCTAGGTGACCCTTTGCCTCGCTGCCTTGTTCATGACGGTGCATTATTTTGATATCTGGGTCTCGTCTCCACTGACTGGTTTATAAGTCTCTAGAAAACTTGCATCCTCTTGCACGTGGCTGTGATACCTACATATTTTTCTGGGGAAAGTTAGAGCTCAGAAGCCAGTATAGACAGAAGAGCTTTACCTTTCCCTCAAGGGAATGGAGCCAGCCCAGACTCAACAAAGAGCTTCACGTGACATTACAGGTCTGGGAGCCGAAAGCAAATTAAGTACCATTTCATCCCACTGGTGGGCGGCTCATCACATGAGCCGATGACCGTGAGTGAAGCGCAGCACCGGGTCCTTGGAGAATGGGGAAGCCAGCTGTCCCAGCAAGGATGCCTCCTGGCTCAGCTCCAGATGCTGGGGGGCAGCTGGGGGCAGGCGGGAGCTGGTGGGTGGGGTTCCCCTCGAGCAGAAGCCTGAGGTCAGGTGAGGTCAGGCCAGCAGTGTGGCTTGGTGGTCACCAGGGGCCCGAGCCAGAGGCAGGGTGAGGGCGCAGGCCTGCCTGGGTCTGACCACGCAAGCCTGTTTCCTCATTTGCACAGCGGGGCTACCGGCGCGTATTTCCCAGGGCGCCACAGAGAACCACCCTGATGACGTGGACAAAGCCCATGGCCACTGGCATGCATGCCCAGGGGAGGACAGAGCCTCCCTGAGGGCAGGGGGGGGCACCCACCCGGGCAGGGGCTGCTCTGAGCCGAGCGGTAGGCAGGCCTTCATGCCAAGATGCTCAAGCTGATGTGAGAGGCAGGGGTCTGCGAGGAGCTGAGGAATCACGTGACCACAGCTACACCTCACAGCCTTGTCTGGCAATGGGGCTCCCCTCTCGGGACACAGCCCCCCATCTCTGACTCACTCCTTCTCCCAGCAAGCAAAGCCCGTGTGTCCTCACGTGTCCAGGTCCCCATGGACAGGACTCCCGGCCCATCCCCTGCCCTTTCACGTGTCCGTGGAGCCTGGCAGGTAATGAGCTCAGAGGGCTGTCCCTGATCGCAGAGTCGGTCCTTCCCAGCAGGACTGGCTCAGCATTGGTCAGGCCCTCCACCCACCATCTCGGTGCTCCTCTGATGGCCTGGCCACCTCCTCCCAGCGTCCTGCACCTCAGCCAGGACAGCAGAACCTTCCAGACCTGATTTCATCTCCATTCAGACATACGGGCGCTAACACTACGCATCTACTACCTGATCCGTCGGCCAGCATCCATCCTGCCTCCCTGGCTCCCAAAAGCATGTGGGATGTGCTTGCTTCCTTACTAACAGAGGGGTTTGCAGCAAACCAGGGTGTGCGGGTATAAAACAGAGAAAATGAGAACATGGGATGATGAAAATATCCCCACAAAGGGTAAAGAACTGGCTGGTGGAGGAATAGACTGGTCTGCATCGTCCAGGGGATCGTGTTCTCATTTCCTCTCCGCCTGTTGACTCTCCACCGAGCAGCTGGTTCTGTGCCAGCTGTTCAGTGAAGCATCTGAAGAAATTAACTCATGGAAGATGCGAGAAGTGTCCCCGGCGCGGATAAAGACACAGCGAATGTTCTGGCATTGCTTTCCCTTCTGGCTCGGAGGAAGGTAATTATATTTTCAACCCAGACAAAGGTTTATCTGGATGGACCAGGGCAAGAGCTGGGCGTGCTCCCCATTTTTGGCAGAGCCCACGGGATGCCCCTCTGTTCCAGGCAGAAGCAGGGCCAGGAGCCGAAGACATCACAAGGCACGCTAAGCAGTCCTTAGAGCTAAGTGGGGTCTTGTAGATTCTCCGTAGGGGGTTGGTGGTGGTGGTGGAGAACAGGTTTTTTTCATTTCCAGTTGATGAGAGTCAGGGTTTTCATAGATAGATAATCATCAGGGGGCAAGGATGGTGATGATGACCTTGGATGGAAACCAGGCTTCCAGGGTCCTGCTCAACATCCCTCAAAACATGAATATTTTAGGCTTGGGTAGATTTATAGGGCAGGTCACCTCTCTGCACAGTCTGGAGCAGGTCAGGTCTAACAAGTGATGCTTCTGGACCGCAGCCAGATTCCAGCCCATTTGTTCTGCTCCCAAGAGACCATGCAGCCCTGTGTCCTTCAGCCGCCGCCATCTCTCTCCGAGTGATAGTTGGAAAAAGGCAAGAAAGTCATCTCTTTCAGAAGATGTGTCCCCTCTGTGGATGCTGGTGGCCTAGCCTTTAGGTAAACAAAGTGATAGATCAAAGGCAAGTAGCAAAAAAATAAGAAAGCAAATAGCAGGTCTGCTCTTGCCTTTTACATCTCCCATCTTTGTCATTTGTAAATGATCAGTAGAGTTCCCTCTGTGGTTCTGGCCAGGGAACACATGAGAAGGAAGAGTTTTTCTGCCCGTGTGGGAGAGCAGCTCCTCTGGAGTGTCATCATTAGCCAGCGCAGCAAGCTCCTGCAGGCAGAAGACCAGCCGAGGGGGGATGCGACGACGGAAGCACCAAGGCTGCAGGAGCACCACACCAAGGCTGCAGGAGCACCGCACCAAGGCTGCAGGAGCACCGCACCAAGGCTGCAGGAGCACCGCACCAAGGCTGCAGGAGCACTACACCAAGGCTGCAGGAGCACCGCACGCAGCCCTTTGATGTCACCCTTCCTTTTGGACCCTTTCTGGAGAGTTGTTGAAATACAATGCCGAGGCCATCCGCCTTAACACAAGTTCAAGATAAATGTATTAAAATTCAATTGTCGTCCAAGGAAAAAATCATTTGTAAAAGGAACTTGTGTGCTCAGGGTGTAACAGAAATCATGGTGAGGAGAAAAAGGCTGTTATTGACGGCCTCAGAGGACCTCTGCCGGAAGCTGACAGAATTATGAATTTAAACAGCTTTCTTCCCATGAAATCCTTTTGTGTGTGCAGCCAAGGACAGTATTTTTCTTCTGAGGACATTTACCTGGAGGAGGAAAAGTTATACTGATCACCACGAGCCTGAAAGGAGGGCAAAACTTCTCTCATTTGGCGTCACAGGGAGACGTGGAAGCTTCCGGAAGGCGCTGAGCTCAGGCAGGGAGACTTCTCCTGCCTCAGGTTTTCGAACGTCAGACCTCTTCTCCTTACAATGTCACATCTTTCAAGCACCTCCACTCTGATCTTTTCTTTCCCCTGCTTTCATATATTGTGTTTTTATTATTAAAATATTTTTTACTGTTATCATATAATTTTTATTTACATGGAGATTTCTTCTTTGATCAACTATTTGGAAATGTATTGTTTCATTTTCAAATAATTAGAAATGTGTCATAATTTTCTTGTTGATGTTTAATCTAATTTAACCAAGATTGTAGAATATGAACTGTAAAATTAAGCCAATGTGCCAATATGAATTATGTTCTAATATATTTCTCATGTCACATGATTTTTCCAAGTATACCTTAAAAAATGTATACCCTATATTGTTTTGTTTATGGGAAAAAAAATTTAATGATTAAATTTAGTATTGAGTTATATTTAGTTATATTATTTATTTATTATTATATATAATATATTAGTGTATTATATATTACATATTATTATATATAACATATGCTAATTATGTATTTTTATTTTATATATTATATAATAATTATATATTATTTATTATTTAGTTTTTAAAAATTCAGTTATTTATTTTAATTGGAGGCTAATTACTTTACAATATTGTATCCACTCTGATCTTAAGTGCTCACCTTTACTTCCTTTTAGGAAGTGGTTAATATCTTCTTGGTCGTTCACAGGGACTCTTACCCATGGGATGTTAAACACAGGTTCTGGTCATTGTTCAGTGATCCCAACACAACAGGGAGGTTCCAGGTAAGCAAGGGAGACCTACAGCCTCACAAGGCTGCTTTTCAAGGCCAAACAAGACACACGAGAAAGCGTGATTTTCTGTACGAGAGTCACCT